AGTGTGTGTGTGTGTGTGTGTGTGCGAGTGCATTTGAGTGTGTGCGTGTGCGTGTGTGTGAGAGAGTGTGTGTGTGTGTGCGAGTGCGTGTGTGTGTGTGAGTGTGTGCGTGTCTGTGCTCTAACAGAGAGGGTCTTTCTTTCAACAGGCATGTATTTTCACACCGAAGCTTTAAGGTCTCATGACTCTGTGTGTGTGTCTGATGTCTCACAGGAAGTCTCTGCGTTAACCATTTCACTGCCAAATACAACAAACTTACACATCTTAAAGGACAGCTAAAAAGTGAAATTCAGTATTTTTCTGTCATCGTCCTCATGAGGGTTAAGAGTTTCAGATTTCTGGCACTGAAGCCACATGGAGTGAACTGGATCTCTGCAAGCGTGTGTGTGTGTGACGGGTGTAGGGCGGATGCGGGTGGTCCGCTTACCAACAGACTTAGGTCTCTCAGCGAGCTGGACGGGGCGGATCCCAGCGTGACCAGAGGAGTCCGATGGGCCGACAGGAGACAGACCCTCAGCCTGCTCAGAGAAACCTGACAGAAAACACACACACTTTACACAGGGTTGCCAGGTCTGCGTATTAAATCCAGCCCAACTGGTACTCAAAACTAGGCTAATCGTGTTCTGGGAGTAAATGGCTATTATTCTGGGGGTCAAAACGTCCTTCCTTCCTATTATTTACAATATACTGTAAATAATATAACCAAGGTGAGGTATTATTTTATTTATTCATTCATTTTTCCCATAGGGATTCTAAACAGTCTTTGTTTAAGAGTTATAAGAAATGAACCTAATCAACCAGCTAGAGAAGAATCACAACATTACAAACTCTGATTTGATTTGAAGAGAAGAAGTGTGAAGATCAGACAAAAGAGTGTGAACTTAAAGACTTAAATGATGGAATAAACTACAATCCCATGAAGCACTGTGAATGAGAATCAAAATAAAAACTATGGAGAAATGTAAAACTGTTCATTCAAATACGTGAATTAAAAATAGCCAGCTAAAAAAAATATGTTCTAAGAATATTTCGCTAACGTTCCCATATATAAATGCCTCATTCATGCATTATTTCATTCATTAAGTTATGAAAATGTTATTTCTGAATGTTCAAAACATCCAGTTTTTCAATGTATTTTCTTGGTTATGCAAACATCATTGAAACATTCCTTTTAATCATTGTTCAAACATCAAGGGAATGTTCCTTTTTAATCATTGTTCAAACATTATGGGAATGTTCCCTTTTTATCATTGTTCAAACATTATGGGAACGTTACTTTTAATCATTGTTCAAACATCAAGGGAACGTTCCTTTTTATTGTTGTTCAAACATTATGGGAATGTTACTTTTAATCATTGTTCAAACATTATGGGAATGTTACTTTTTATCATTGTTC